TCTTATTCGTTTCGTTTTTAGATTTGAAGTCTCAATTTTTAACAACAATGTTTTCTTGTTGTATAAATTATTGAACAAGTGTTGCTTTGATGTTTATTTAACACTTTACAGTTAATACCTGAGATTATATGTGTAGACGATGCTTTTAATGGCACTCACAATGTGATATTACAAGCGGTAAAGGATGAAATGTAAACACTATTACACTAGTACATGCCTACTTGCATATCTAATACCCGAACCCGAGGGAGGAAGATTGAATCCGGAAACAAGCCAGTGAAGCATATCAACCCGTCTGATATGTTATTGTTGATTATGAAATATTATATGTACCGCCACTTCCCTGATGTAAATGCTCTGATTAAACATAAAAATGGTCCCCCTCAATTTGAATAAGTTTATTTAGCCAAACAAACAATATCAGTGTTTCGGTTTCCAGCGACACGACCGTCCATATTTTTTGCTTGCAATGCTATCTTTTTTTTTCAATATTTTGGCAAAAAATATATAAATAAAATCCTTTATCTCCGTATTGATTTATCTCGTGTTTTTGATCCACATAAACACCTCGAGACAAATTTACTTTACCGTTTGACATATATTAATGTTCCCTCGACACCTCTCTGGGAAGAAGGCAGTAGTCAGTGCAATCAAAAGTAACTTGGACGTTAGTTCAGTTTTGTTATTATGGCTAATTCAAACAATAAAATTGGGAAATTGTCGACTTATATCAATTGTATATATTTAGTCTAATTCATTTGTAGTCAGAATAATATGAAAAATACGGAATTTCTCCAGGATTGTCATCTCCTTAAACCTATCAAATGGTAAATTCTTGCGAGAATGGCGGAAACGGTAGGTTTACAAGGACAAGTCTAGAGAGAATCCGTATTGTGTCGGCCATGGTAAGTATGCTTGAAAGTGACGATGCTGGAAAAGATGAAGCATTTAATTGCTGTGAAAAGTATGCATGTTAGTAGAAAATTGGTTTATCTGTCCATCGATGTATCATACCTAACTATCAAACTATTTAAAGCATTGCCTGAATGCCGACCCATATACGGGTTGTTTAATTTCGTGTTCTATATTGGGTGGAAGTATATCGACCGCGACCAAGATGAAAATTATAACTGCACAAAAAATATTCAGAACACTTCGACTAGATAAATATCTTATGATACATTTATACATACCTAACACTTGGTTATCAATCGTTTCCTAATCAATATACGATACTTAAGAAGGTGGTGCCAAATACAAGCAAACGTAATTAGAAAAAAGAGAAAAAGAAAAAAAAGTATCTACTTGCTGACCCAAACAGACAGAAACCGGAAAGACACATCTTTTTCCCGATGTCCTTTCATATGCAGACTTCCCGTTTAATTATATTTCAAACAAAATGATATGTTGTTTTATTAGAACGCTTGTTTCGGTTCATAATTCTTCTGTTTAGTTCGATACACGAGCTAATGTACAGACTCATCTTATACCTTATTGTCATAAAGGTTTAGCTAGATCAGGCACGGTCAGGCACGGTCAGCCACAGCAACCTACAGAACCAGATGTCACAGCAACTGGACATGTTTGATAACAGGAATTTGTCTCATACAGATCTGGATCAATGGAATTCCGATTTGAGGGCGACTCTGATGCCAATAATTGTTATCTTACTTGTATACTTCACCTTTGGAATATGTGGAAATGTATTTGTGATATACATTTATAAGTTCAGATTTCGAGATTACAATGAAGAACGATACTATATACCATTGCTGGCTATGGTTGATCTATTTGCCTGTGTTGTGTGTCCTACTGGAGAAGTAGTCGCTTATCTGAACCCAGTAAAATACACCAACAGTGGTGTATGTAAGCTGTTTCAGACAATGGAGCATTTTGCTAGTGGTTACTCTGCCATATTGTTGACAGTGATAGCAGTTAGTCGCTACAGGGTAATTTGTCGTCCATTCAAACCCTCTTTCACCATTAGAACGAGACGAGTAATGCTGGTCGGTACGTTTGTCTTTATCTTGTGTTTGGTGATACCAAGTGCGATAACAAACGGAATTCGGAAGGTAGAACACAACTCATTAAATGTGACTGGCTACCGCTGCACCACCGTCAAGGTCCAAGAGTCCAGCACATTTCCTCTGGCGTATAACCTATTATTAATGACTGCTTGTGTTGGCAACCTTCTGGCTCTGTGTGTCTTTTACACTCTGATCATCAAGACCATCATTCAACACGCACAAAGGAGATGTAGCCAGGTGATAGCAAGCGTAACGCGAGCACCTGACAATCGACAAAATTTCAGAAACTCGAAAACATTTATCGCTTCCAATCGATTGACGGTGATGTTTTGCACTATAACAGTTCTCTATGTGATTTGTTTCATACCCACACTCTCTGTAATGATCTGGATTTCTCTTGACAACAACTGGCTCAATAAAACACGGTCACAGATTGCAGGTGTGCGCTTCGTACGGAACATGTTCATAATTAATAACATTGTCAACCCAGTAATATACGGATTCTTCGATAACAAATTCCGTGATGAAATCTTAAAGATTGTTAAAAGAAACAAATAGTTTTATTTGCAATAGCACACCTAATTTCGGGCACTTGTTACAAGTGTTTTTGTCTCATCGCTAACCGTGATTAGTGGAATCACTAACCTATTATATGCAACAATCTATTGCTTGGGGCTGTTTTCCATGTTTTCCTCAATAATTAATGAAAATTTTAGTGCTGGATCAATTACTGATATGATCACTTAATGCGAAAGTGTGTATCGCTCTCATGATGTATACAGCAAGGGAATGCTGTAATTTATGTAGAATAATGTGTGCCGCTTACAAACTGTATACAGTCATATACTACTGGAACCGATGTATTGGAAATTACGTATCGCTCTCATATTGTATACAGCAAAGGAATGTTGTAATTTATGTATAATTACGTGTACCGCTCTCAAACCGCTACAGTGTGAATATCTAATGCCTTGTTGGAGTAACCCACACGTTTAAACATGTAACTTTTGCATAACCTCTTCAATGTTCGTACTGATAAAATTTCTATTACACGGTTGATAAAATCTTGTGATTAGTGTGGCTATGGATATATAATATTTTCAGTATTGTGGCAAATTGAAACATATCGATGTTTTATAACATGTGAATAAAAAAGACGGACAACAAGTTTGTACTGAAACAATTTGTATGTGTGTAGTTGTACGTGTATGAACATTTACGCTGGTCGATATAGATGATGGTAATATTTCCAGATAGGGAAGAAGACATAAGGTTTGAATAGATTTAGAAGCGATTGGTCTGTTGTTGTTAATCTTACATGCATTCTCAGAAAGGAACGTGACGTCACTTACATATGTACCTGATTGGTAAAAATTTACAAAGTGAGTGTCATCGATGAAGCATACTGCTTTTGGTTCCAGGACGGTTAGGTTCCCTTTTCCAGTTTTCAATAAATCATCTGCAAACCTTGACATTCTGAACAAGAAAATGTTTATAGGGCCTGTGCTAAATATCCAGCTCACGTGGTTGTTCATTCCTCTAAAATATTAATTCTTATTCCAGTGGCTATTTAAATGACCATGCCATGAAAATATATCTTTATTGAATCTCGTGTCTGGCATATTATGAAGACTACTATAATGTTTAAAATAGCATGCCATTGGTTTACTACTGGTGTCCATTCTATGTTCCTGATAACAGCTGCATTTGGTGCATAACGATGAAGACCTGGTTAAAATCTACGCACACGGTTTTCAGGAGGCGTAAGAGACGTGTACCCTACATCGCATTTTTTTAAAGACTTTGATTTTGGGTGTCAGATTAATAGAATAACAATCTTTGCTACATAAATAGAATGACAATTTGGGTGACAGATCAATAGAATGACATTCTTGGTGACAGATAAATGAAATGATATTATGGGTGACAGATAAGTAAAAAAACCAATCTGGGCGATAAATAAATAGAATGACAATTTGGGTGACAGATCAATAGAATGACATTCTTGGTGACAGATAAATGAAATGATATTATGGGTGACAGATAAGTAAAAAAAAAACCAATCTGGGTGATAAATAAATAGAATGACAATATGAGTGACAGGATGACAGATAATTAGAATAAACTTGAAAACTTCAGAATTCATTTCCTCAATGTATAGGATTATCTAAAGTTGATATCTCGTTTGAAGAACGTAAAATACTTTAAACACAATGCATGCAGAAAACTATTTCACTAATTACATATTGATTTATCAATGAAATATGGGTTCCAAATGATTTATGGACGTACATGTATTAGGGAACTCGTGTGAAAACAGAAGATAAATGACTATTAGATACTTATTAGACAGGCAAAACTGTGCATGCTACAGAAATTCTTGAAAAATAAATTATCTAAATACTTACATGAACAAGGTGCATATGTTTCTCAGTGGATGAAAATATAATTCTTCACATCTTTTATTTATTTTAAGTATGTATGAAAAATGTGTGTTTATTGATTTGGCGCAATTTGTATTGATGCCTGTATTTCTATATTCTATACGGACGGCCCATCTACACAGAGAAGATCTGTAAGGTGCAAGAACTGTTGGACAAAAAGTACCAACAAGCAGCATCATGAACAACAGATTGACTGTTCATATTTTTTTTTATCGTTTCAATGTTACCAGTCACTCTCGGTTTGCGTTCTATTTTCTAATCTGTATCGCTCATGAGATTTGACGCTCAGCAGGAACACAATGCGTTTTTTAAGTGGTGCGTTATCTAATTACATTTTATATTAAGCCCTAGGCCATGCTATAAATCCATTCCCGGTACATTATTTTTTAATGAGTCACGGTGTTGGTGTTGAAAAAAATACAGCATAAAAATCTTATTAAAAATATTGGAGTTATTCCCCTTAGTCCGCTCACGTGATACGGAAGTAGTTCTGACTGCAATAACAACATAATGAAGCAGACAGCAGAGAAATGGAGAATGTTTTGACGTATCGGCTAGATTGGAACGGATGAGGGGAGGAGAGGAGTTGGATGTGCAAAGTCTATGCTCTAAACGAAACCATGACCAGGTTGTTATATATTTTTGAATAATGCATGTATTCATTTGTATGCAGGGAAGTATTTGTTGTCATAGGGGAGCGATCTGTCAAACCAGTTACAGTACTGAGCATGTATATTTGGTATATTGTGTAGTGATAGTCTGCTGGCTAGCGTTTGCTAAATCTCTGCAGTCGTTCCCTTCCCAAGCAGTAATTCAATTTAGAACATACTTTAACTTTCCACAGAAGTGTCAGGTTTCAACAGCTATCTCGCGCGAGCATGCACGGTACAAAATATTCAACTGTATAAGCTAAAATGATTGTTTGGGAAGGGGAGCAGAGTGAGGGATAGGTGCAGAGTAGGGCATTTATTACACACAAAAATAAAAACAGCTCATTCAACTGAATACAATCAAGTATATGAAGAATTAATATTACGGTAATCAAATCTATGATTGTGGTTACTGTAGATAATATATTAACTAAAGTTGGATTCTACTTTAATATGCTAGGCAATCAATCAGTATTCCAGGATTGAATCCACAGCTGTACATAGTTCTTCTGACATTCTATCAACAAAGCCTTAAGTTGTTTTTTATCAACACCTATGTGAAATAAAAGGAGACAGAATGTCTTGGAACTAAATCTGTACTTACAGTATATTAACCAAGTTCATTTTCCCCTGTTATTGGCAATCTACAGCTTCCTCAAGCTGATTTTATTCCAAAGTATATTACTTTTCAATGTACCAGCCATAATCAACCCATAGGTATACCTCAAGCTTGACTTTTGTACCCTGGTATATACACTGGTACATATACAGTCTTTATACCTTGCGTGGTCGTTTATAACTTCGCTTAACTTTTCTGTTATGATGCATTCCTTTCATTTTACTGGCAATACCTGCATACTCAAACTACATGCACAGGAACCTCAAGCTTGAATTTGGAGTCAGGGTAAAATGTATGTTCCCTTTCAATTTAGTGGCATTGGCCAAGTACCTTAAGGTTGACTCTATCATGTATCCTATTTTACCTGGTTGATCTGTCAAGGATTGTGATATAGGTGTATCTAAGTCTGTGGATCTAGTTATGTATTATTTTGTACTTGTATCCCAAGACTGAAACTATGTATAATCAGAAAAATAGTAACATAAATGTGAAATATTCCCTTTGTCAAATTTTCAAAGCAAACTGCCTATGGTCACATTGCAAATATTATATTTACTTTTCTTTTTCTAGTTTAAACTACCAGTCATTTACCATATCCTAAAGGAATGTATGTAAAATCACATTTATGTTATTCAAGTTATTGGTCAATCTGTCCAAGGGCCACAATATACTTTACTCTTGACCTTGACCTTGCTAAATTTTGATGACATTCCTCCCAGTTGCTAAAGAATTAAACCACATGTACATGTATCTCCCTGAACTAATGCATGTGGCTGCATATATTTCATCTCATCAAATACATATAAGACAACAATCATCACTCTAATGTTTAAACCAATGTGTTTTTTTTTAATTCTATTGATATAGGTTGCCACTGGTCTGTTAAATTCTGAATTCAGACACAGCTTTAAGGATAGTTTATATATAGGAAAGATGATTAATTAAATAAAGATGAAAACTTCCAGTAGGGTAGGGACTAAAATACAGTTAACATGCAGATTTATGTATAACTATGCACATAAAACATTTCTCTCGAACAGAAAGATTTGAAAAGGCGTGAAAGCTTGGAGACTACCATTTTAGGGATTACAACAGTAATCACCTGAGAACAAAATACCAAATTTAATATAAGCTGTAGGTGATTTAGCTGAAGAATGCATGTCATAGTGGCATTTTTGATGTGAAATTTATTGATATTAGCTTGATAGTTGTTTGAATTGAAATTAATTTCTGTTATTAATTTGGATCACATGGCTGGTCTTTAAAAACATGGATACTCCATTTTCAAATGATTAAAAAATAATGATGAGTTATTCACTGGGACAGCAAATAATAGTGACAGTATTGAGTGCTATGGTCTAGATTCAGGGTTGAGTATACAGTCACTGAATTATAATGGTGTTAAAATGAGTGAAACATTTATGTTTTTATCATATAAGTGATCGCGTACTGCATGATCATGACTGACCATGGTAATGTTGATAATTGTTTCTTGTATTTTTGTATTAAGTTTTGAAAAGTAAATTGAATAAGGAAAAAACACTGCCTGAAATTTGAGAAAATTAGAATAGATTTCAATATTTGGAAGAATGTTTTACAACTGGTGATGACAATGTGTACATATTACATAGTAGTTCACTATACCTTAGTACACTGTACATTACATAATAATGAAATTCACTTATGACTGAAAAGTATTCAAATTATGTTTATAATTTCTTAATAACAGTGTTTTACATATGTATTTAAATGAGTGCCATAAACAACCTTATTCCTTAAGCATATAAGCCCTATGTTCCAAAAATGAATTTTAAAATTCTCAATTGTGATGATTGTTTAAAACTTTTGAATAATGCAGAAAAACATAATGGCAGATTTTACACAAAATAGATAAAGAGAAAGGACGTATGACAAAATCTGTTTATGCCTTATGTAAAAGTGGAATTAAACTGCATTCTGAAATTGGTAAACATCCGACTCAGTTTCCTGTATTGTTTTAAAAAGAAGGAGTGATAGTAGGGGTGGAGGAAGGGAACTGGCCATGATTTTTTTTTCTTTATTAATCCCACCACCATTAAGATTGCTCTATGTCCTTGGTCATTCCATCCTAAACAATTCATTACTTTGTGAAAATTTCATGTGTATGTGCCCCTTCGTCCCTAGTTGTGCCCTTTTTTGATCAGAAAAATAAAATGACTGACAGGTGACCATCATGGATTGTGAAAAAGAAAGTTTGTTATCACTCTTTCTTTAGAAGCACTGGACGGATTTTACACATATTTCATATGTAGATTTTCTTGGTCCCTATATGTGCTGTTTTGATCTTGGGGTAGATCAGAAGAACAAAATGGCCGGGATATGGCCATCTTGTGTTTTGATTGTAAAAGTTTTGTAATCGTTTTTTTCTTGAGAAGTATTGCATAGATTTTATATGACCAATGGTCCTTAGCTGTGCCCTTCTGATTTTTGGACTGACCGGCGGCCATCTTGGATTTAAAAGTGAAAAGATTGTTATCGCTATTTCTTGAAAGGATTATTTTTAGAATGTCGTCTAATTAAGAACACACACAATGGAAAGTAGAGAACAGAAGGGAAATATCCAACTTTTACAAAAGAAAATAAAAATGAAACGATGCTGGTCGCACCTTCCGTCGGAACACTTGCATGTATATGTATATGTACAAGACTATGCTACAGTTACCTCCCTTGTACCAGCTGCTGGAAACTTCAATACGACTAGCTAAAAATCACATTTTAACAGAATGTCGGTCGATAAATATATATACTGCATGACTAAATTCACTGTCTACTGTAACACCGTGCATGTTAATGTTTTGATGGATTGCCAAGTAGAATACACACAGCTGTCTGATCTGGTTGTCTGATATGGCTCACACAAACAACATGAAAGAAGACCTCAAATATGTACATATATATATGTATACTCATACATACATACAAATGTAATATACAGAGTAGAACACCATGTACCTACATGACTTGCATATACAAGTGGACTCGTGTCTATTGTCAATATCTGCCTAAGTCATTACACATTATTATCACCTCAATAAAATACATGTTGTTATTATGTAACAGACATTTCAACTTCCATTAATCAATATGTTTATTTAGGTTCTGGAATCAGACAGTCTCCAGTCGATATATACTTACATGTATGACTAAAGGTTTAAAGTTTTGCACAATACGTACACTTGTACGTCCAGACTATAAATGTCTGTTGCCGGCAGCGGACAGAGACATCGGAACTTGTTACAGGTATATTTGGATTAATCCCAATGTGTCCAATACATATCTAGACGTATTGGAGGGTTATGTCATCATTCGGCCAGAATGACCCTTCTATTGTGTATATAATGTTAAATGACAGTAACTGTATACAGGGATGTTGTTATCGAGTGTTGACCTACATTTTACAGAATTATTACGTAGTAACCTCCCCATCCCCTTCCCCCCAGAAGGTATACAGATGATGGATATGCGCATTAAACCTAATTGTGTTTTAGATGGTGAGTAGTGAACAATAGCTTCTTTTAAATGTTTCTTATATGTGATTCCATTACTGGTATTGTTTCGTGATAGTCTGTTTTAGAAATTGTTTTTTTAAGTTTTGTTGAGTAAATAGTATTTAGTAAGCATTCTCAATCCAGTCTTCACACAAGAAATGCGACTACCGGTCCAGCAATGTGTTGTCAGTATAATGTGTTGACAGGTGTAAATGCAATGTTATATATGACGTTCTCAAACGTGTTTAAACAAGTTTTTGTCTTACGTCTTTCTCGTCGTTGCCTCACGTTTGACCTGTTGAGTGATCGCCCCTGTGATGGGTTCTGTTCACAGACCTAGACAAACTGGTTTTAAAAGCGGTAAAAGTAGTTACTATTGTGTTCCTGTATAAAACGATTGCTGATAAGCCCGTTGTCAGTGAAAGGTAACCGGACGGGACGTTCTGCCGGGTGTCGTCGGCAGTATAATTAACTTCAGTATGATTAACTTCAGTACCATTAATCCTGTCGAGGCTTACACAACACATCGCACCCTCCCAAAAACACAGCCATTCACCAAACACATTCGCCTCACATACATGGAGGCAAGTCGTCCTTAATTTCTTACTAACAACTCTCCCAAGGTCGCATGTATGATTGTTATATCATTGTCTTCATAGTAAAATAAGTGAAGTAGTATAAGTTAAGAAGAGAGTTACTTGTCACCTGTCAGCAGGATATAAGAATAATTACGAGTGTTTGTCCCTACATTCATCCTTTGTCTTTACTAGCTATGATATTGTTTAATCCAATCCTTCAGATATGATGTTGTTTAAACTTATATGTCCATTGTTATTATTTCAGCCTCCAAGAGGCCATTGCCAACGGCAATGTGTCCACAGTGCGGCATATCTTAAAGAGCAACACATGTTCTCAACAGGAACTCAAGAACTGTCTCTTCTTTAGTTGTGGTAGTGGTAAAGTTGATTGTGCTGCATCCATCTTAGAGACAGCCATATCTCCAGATCTGCATAATGAGGATGAGTTTACTCCCCTGACTCTTGCATCCCGCGGCGGGCACAGTGCTGTAGTAGATCTCCTTATTCGATGGGATTGTGACGTTTCAATTCCAGGAGGACCACTGACCAACACCCCTTTACACTATGCCTGTAGCGAGGGTTACAACGAATCTTGCAAACTGTTAGTTGAGGCTGGTGCCGATCTGAATTCTAAAAATGCCAGGTCTGACACCCCTCTCATCCTTTCTTCTATGAACGGCCACATAAGTATTGTCAAGTACCTTCTTGAGAAGAATGCATCTGTGAGGCGACGAGGTTATCACGAGAGAACCGCTCTCCATTGTGCTACCGAGAATGGTCATCTCGAGATATGTCGTCTACTTATCAATGCTAACTCTGATCTAGAGGAGGAAGATACATTTGGAAACACACCTCTGATCTGTGCCGCAGAAAAGGGATATGTCGAGGTTCTGAAACTGCTTCTTAATCACAAATGTGAGGTGAACAAGATGAGCCATAGTGCTGCCACGGCACTTCATTTCGCCGCACAACACGGAGATCTGAACTGCTGCCGACTTCTCCTAGATGGTGGAGCGGAAATCGACGCTCCGGATATTCGTCGATTTACTCCGCTTATGATGGCATCTCTTAATGGCCATGACCATATCGTTGATTATCTAGTGGAGCGAAAGTGTAATGTGAATATGGTAGCATATAATAAAAGGACGGCTTTACACCTAGCGGCAGAAAGAGGAAATCTTCAATGCTGTATTTCGCTGCTCAAAGCTGGTTCAAATATTGATGCGCAAGATTCATTGGTGTGTACACCTATTTACAATGCAGCTATCAAAGGCCAGGCCGCAATCGTGCGATTTCTGATCGACAGCGGCGCAGATCTGAACAAGCGTCCCAGCAGCGGCAATTCTATTCTTCACTTTGCTGCCACAGGTGGCAGTCAGGAGTGCTGTCAAGAGCTTCTTAACACCGGCTTTGATATCAATGCTCAGAATCGGGATGGCGTTACACCTTTGATAGCAGCTGTAAATGGAAAGCAAATTAAGGCTGCAAAATTTCTGCTAGATAATGGATCTGATACTAATTTTCGAGATCTTCATGGTATGACGGCACTGAATGAGGCAGTCTTTTACAACTGCCCGCAGCTTGTTGCTCTTTTACTGGAGTATGGTGCAAATCCCGACTTGGAGGACTATGCGGGGACTCTTCCTCTATGGTTTGCGGTAGATGGCTTTAGCAACGAGTCGGTGAAGCTGTTACTTGGTGCTAACTGTAAATTTGACATACAGTCAACGCTTAGTAGCTACTGTGGTCCATGCAATGCCATCGAACATTCAGTACATAAGAAGAAAGCCAGAGTGCTGAACTGGCTGGTATCGGCCTACTGTGAGGAAGCCCTTAATGTTCTGAAGGAACACTTGCCCAAAATAGAAAAGATGACATCACTAAATTCAAATATGTTGGAGCTTGTGCGTGAAGTGACGTCATCACCTAGACCACTGATGGAACACGCCAGGAAGGGAGTGCGCGCAACACTGGGAAAAGGCACCGGTATCACAGAGAAAATTGAGTCACTCAAGGTGCCGAAATGCATTAAAAGATATCTGATGTTTTCTGACATGGAAAACGACACGGAATCTTCAAAATGACAACGTATTTCAAGCGCACACAATTGTAATATGTGTGGAGTATATAGATATGAATTAGAACCGAAAAAATATCTATGGTGCGAGAGGGAATTTATAAGTTAAGACAGTGCTGTAAATATTGGCAATAGTACATTGTTTAAACTTTTTTTCATACAGCTAACTGCTTATTGTTATGTATTTATGGTTTATTATTAAACAGATGTGTTTAAGACATAGAACATACAGATGATTCGGATAGATAGCAAACACATATGTAAAAGGATTGTTATGTTTATTGCGTTTTAATTACTGGATACTCAAGTAATCCTATTTTTATTTCGTTCGTTTTTAGTTTAGTACATCAGATATACTTAGCAACAAAACTATGTTAAGTATTTCAATCATAAGGCAGTTTTGGATTTCTGCCTTAACTTAAGCATAATTTATCACGGAATTAGTTAAGTGTGTATAAATCAAATTCTTTGTTCCGATTATTTATGTTTTACTAGTCACTGGATACGGTAAGAGAGAACCGTGGTTCACATGGTGGAGACTGAACAGAAAAATGCATTATTTTCTATTTCAAATGTAATACCGCAAATGCAGTTATAGAATACAACGTGTCGAACAGTACATGGTATAAAAAGTGCAAAAGTGGTAAATTAATTTCAGTTACATGATGTCACTACGAGAATTAAACAGAAGTGACTGAGCTACTTTCATACAGAAGGTAAACAGAACCTATTTGGTTGAAACAGTACTTGCTTGCGTGTTTAGGTATCATAATCAGTATAAAGAGTACATGTCACGTTATGTTCAGTATACAGATAGTATCAGTGGTATTGTAATGTAAGTCGAATTGTTTGCGTTTCCACGCTCACGGTAATATTGCATGCGGTCATGTGAACCAAATAGAGAAAACGCAGAATGCAATAGGAGTTACGACGGATTTAAACGTTGTGTATTGTTTTGTTTTTGTTTTTGTTTTGTTATTTATGTCTTTTGTATAAACAGAAATGTCTAGTGAACATTTCTATTTATTGTTTTACTCGACATCTTTTAATTGAATTAATTGCTTGTTATTCAAATGTATCAAATTAATTTGCCAATATTAACAATTAGAAAATACATGGTTGTAGGTAGCCTAGTTATGTAGAATCACGGAGTTAAATATAATTAAGTCCGTGATACAATGACGATTTACTTTATTTTTTATGTAGTCAGACAAATTTTTAAAGTAAATATTTTAAATTTTTATTTGATTTTAAAATGGTTATTTGTTTATCAACAAATGTGTCAGGAAAAAAACGATTGATTTCGATTGATAGACTTAATCTGATTACCACTGCCACTGCTGTGAGGATCCTTATCGGGCCGACTTTATAGCCCGTTGTTCTCAATCGGATTACAAACACATTTTTCTCTAAGCTTATAGCGACTTTTTTATGATGGCGATGGTTTGATTTCTGAATTTTTGAAAAGTGGTTCGGATCTTTTTTTGTCATTAAATTAGAAGTTAGAATTGCTACCTTTTCAACTGGTGATCCGGACAAATGCTGTAATAATATGTGATGTAAGGGTATGTACAGATACAGAAAGAGTTTTTGACAAAATTTATCAATTTTTGAGGAAATGTTTTAGCTCTGAATGAGTTCCAAACTATGCTTATTTATAGCCAGTAATTGGCGAATCGGTAATGAAGATGCTGGGCACAAACTTATCCTGCGGTTGACCAATGAAGGTGATGGGCACAAACATTCTCGACGGTAACCACTGAGAGTGTCGGGTTCACACTGACCCAGTAAGGACCAATAAAAAATTCGGACTCGGACAGTCCGGTAAATATGAACAAGTGTATTAACTAAGACATTTTCTTGCCTGTTATTACGAGTTAGCAAAGGATATGCAACTTTAATTAAAGCAACATATATAAGATAAACTCTTAGCATTCCTTATTTGTTCTACTTTCATGTAAACTCATCGTTAGATATGGCAGACGTTACTTTCAATTCATTATGACGTTACATAACATAACAATACTTTAACCTTGTTCCTGATATTGAAAGTGTCGGTTTATCATCAATTTTGGCTCTTTAATGCATGGCCTTACATACATACCTTTCACTTTTGTATGTCCCAAGCCTTTACATTTGTTCTGGAGCTAGGTTAAATACATTAAAAAAAACAACAGATTGAAATGCATGGAAAAGTCGTGATGTACACTTAACTTAGTGGTTGGGATTTTATCACATTTCACTTCCGGATCGTCAAATGTTGCGCCAGGTATCATGCCATTCATGCTGGTTATTATTACACAGACATGATGGGTAAAACACTGACTCGAATATTAAATGGTAAATGATTTTTATAGCAGTTGATTTGTAAATACCTCGGTATTATGAATATTCCTTAAACTAACGGTATATTAACGGTGATCATGTCGCTGATACTGACACGGTTATGTTGTATGTTGCCAATCCGTTGATTAATGTTGCTAGTTGCGTGTGCCCTCTTCATTGTAAAGACTGATAACACGGTTCCACTTCATCCTTGTAACAGTTTTTATGTTTGTGCCCACTCCAAAGTAGAAGAGCTATGGTTGATGTGAAATCACATATTTGAAACCTAGAAGATGTTTGATGCGTACAGATATATACATTGTATGTAATTATCTGACAATGAATTAATCTGCCAAAAACAGTATCCCTATTTTTGTCACTAAAATATGCACTCTAGATTTTCATTGTCTTACGCTGATGCTTGTCTGAAACGTTTAAATGATTAACATCAGTTTTTTCCTGCAAGTAGGACTTGTGTGTATTTTTGTTTTTGTTTTTTGTTTTTTGTTTTATTTTTTTGACAGCTTTCGTTGTAATTAGAATAAAAATGTAAACTGTACTAACAACGTCACAGCACGCAGTGTTGTTTATATTTATTATGATTTTAATTTGATGGTAAAATGATTGAAAAGTTCTATAGAAAAGTTATCGTGTTTGGCAGGGAAAAATAATAAATAACTTAAAGAAATCATCGCGTTTTTATTCAAAATTGAAGCAAGTATTTTTATGTGGCAACATTGATTTTATCTCGTGAAACTTGTTTCTATACTCTAGCGATCGTAGAGGCGCACTAATATATATCCATTTTAGCGAAATCATGGGGTGGATAAAATAGATAAAAATTATGCATGCATATATGATGTATGGTGGGTTTTTTTTTTTGTGAAAACTGACCCCTTACATACCGTCTTTTCGAAAAATATTTGACAAAATTAGATACAACACCTGTTGATATATAATATATTCTGAAGAGCTGCCAAACAGCGAAATGCCTTGAAAATCGGTATTCTCATTTAATATAAGTGAATTTGTATAAGTTTGTTCAAATTTCTTCCAGCAACAACGCGTCAGATTACAAAACTGCTGTCCGACGCGTGGTAAGGTATTTAGCGTAAGTTCGTTTACCTAGCTTTAGCCCACTAACATCAGATCGCCCAATATCCGTGGCCCGTCCGTCTATAAACAACTCTCTCTCTCCTGAAAAGTACCGAATGGAGGTTTATAAAATTTCTTGTGTAGATTCCTCTTTGGGGCCTGTATCCTTGCCGTGCCCGTTTAATTTTAGGCTTGATTAGAAAAACAAACAAGGATGACAGGCAACCATTTTGGATTTCGACAGTGGAAGTTTTTTATCGCTGTTTCTTCGGAAAATCTGGATAGATCTTTTCAAATTTTATATGTAGGTCCACATTGGGCCCTATTTGCGCCCTTTTAATTTTGGGTTTCCGGTTTGTGTCTAATTGATTTTAGGACTTATATGAAAACAAAATGGCTTACAAGGGTGGGGATCATCCTGGATTTTGCAGATAAGTATCGCAAGACCTGCAAGGGAATCTTTAACTTTCATATAATGAATAGCAAAAACAGTGTTGAGAATAAGATAAAAAAAGATCATACTTCAAAGAACAAACTGAAATCAAACGATAGTGAACTCCAAAATCTCTCTGTGATCTCTTCTTCTGTAGTTTAATAACAATAACAATTCAAAGAAATATCAGAAAGCCACCAGCTTAGTTGGACAGCCCTTGTCTTTCTGTCCTCTTAGCTTACTGAACTAGGCTTGTCATTAAGGTTCTGGTTGGGAAAGGACTTTGCAGCACATAAACGACTTAAATAATCGACTTAAAGCTGTACTTGCTGATAATGTCGGATTTACTATAATCAATATTTTGAGGTGTGTTCTTTTTTTTTTTTTTTTTTGAAAAAAATGCACCATGAGTGAAAAACATGGACAAATTAAACTCTCAGCATATGTCTTCTGAAGGGCAGATTGCATTTTATGATGTACGACATTACAACAGTTCGTAATGTACAACTCTTGGTTTTTCAACTTAAATAAACAACTTTTATCTAAATCTTAAAAGGATTAATATTAACATACAGTATTGATATTTGCACTTATTCGCGAATACAATCTCTACAAATCTTTCGTCCTGTAAGATTCTTCTTGAACATTTATACATAGAATGATGAAATAGGAAAAGTAGAACTTATTTTTACGAAAGCGTTGATCTGGTAACCAGTCGATTAAAAACTTTAATACTTGATGTAGCAGGTTCTTCTACTAACACACTACTTTGTTTCCTTGTTATATGTAATGCACTATAGGAGTGTGTTGATATGATGTACTTAATTGTTAACTTGTAGCAATATTACTTTGGCGTGTAGAAACAGTGACGTAAATAAGCATGTAAATAACGTCCGTATTTATTTAAGTTTCAGGATTGAATCGCATGAAACTAAGCTGACAAGGGCTTAAATGATACACAGTTGTATCATTGAGATGATGCGAATTAAGTAAGCTTGTTGCTCGGTAAAATTATTGCTGTAGTTTTAAAGTCGTTAATTTCATTGTAGGTCAGATGAATATAATGTAAGATACCAGTGGTAAACAAGATATAATATATATGATCATCCATATCATAACATCTTAATTGGTAATGACCTCACACTCACCTACCGTAGTAGCACGGTGTTATCATGAAATTAAATTCAGTTGGAAATATTATCACGATAGACCCAGTATTATGAGACAGTATAACTTTCGGTGGTCGCATTTCGATAGAAGAACCTATAGCTGTAACTGTGTTTTAGAGTTTGATGGGATTTTCTTCGATTACATGGTAGTATAAGCTGGGTAGTTGAGTGTTGTAATGCTGGTGTTGTCGGTATCGACGACATAAGCTATGTTGTAATTGGTTAGATTTTGTTACTTATTTAATTATATATATTTATTCTCTGTGTAAGGTTGGATTTTTGTATAAGCAGTTTTGATTTATATCTTATGTATCGTTTTGAGCATCAGTATTAAAAAATACCATAAAAACGCCTTTAATTAGTCGTTCCTGTTATCTTTGCCTTGTATATAACGTCCCTCCAGCACGTTTTACATTGTTAGTGAAGCTAAGGGCCTAAATATTGAAAACGAGACAAGTACCCGAAAGAAAAGTCAAACCTAGATGAAGGGGTGGACTAGCCCCATAATTCAATCACTGACACAAAATATAGATCACATTCGTTGACACGCACACTACACACACACACACACTGCACACACACACACATGCACACACATATTCACACACACACTGACACACACACACCCTCTCACACACACACACACACACACACATCACACACACACACACACACACACACACACACACACACACACACACACACACACACACACACACACAAACACACACACACACCCTCACACACACCCTCACATACACACACACACATATATATATATATATTATATATGACACAAACATACATACATAAACATACATTAATAAATGTATACTGACACAAACATACATTCATAAATACACTGACAAAAACATATCTTCATGAATTTATATTAACACAAACACATATACATATATGTGTACTGACACGAGCACGTCCACAGAAATTTATATTGACACAAACATACATTTATAAATACATTGAAAAAAACATATCTACATGAATTTATAATGACACAAATACATACATGTAAATACATTCATAAATGTATACTGACACATGTACATAGATGTATACTGACACAAACATACATTTATAAATACACTGACACAAATATAATATACATAAATTTATAATGACACAAACATATATATATATATATATATTAATTTATGATAACATGATTATATATTTGGTGAAATCTATTTTGTGTGTGAATTCTGTTCCTTTGCTGAAGCCACGGTATTTTATGTTTATGAGGTAATCCATGCATAAGAATGTGTGGCATGCGGTCAGTCCTGTCTTTATGTACATAACTTGATCAATAATTATTGATATACATTTTATCAACATGTAATTGTTTTGAATGAAATATACTAATCTTTTAAACACACTCTGTTACAAATGATTATAATCCCGATAAACAGTTCGGTGCCACCAGAAAACTATTTCTACATTGAAGTAACACTACATTATTAAACCAAATCTAATCTCCTAGCACTTAACTCATATGCTTATACACAAATCACGGGGTCAGATGTTCTTTTTTCTATTCCGAAAAAGGATTTTAGAACTCAGCTAAGACTTTGAACTCTATCGTGGCAGTGGTTATTCCTATTTCGGAAAGTGCCCTGATATTTTGATGTCGGCAGCAGGTAAGATAATACTGGTACTGCGTTTGTTTGAAACGAATAGCTATTAATATTGCTAAGTGATCTTCTGTTCCTGGTTTACATAATTATGTCGAGTGTAATAGGTCTTGGTTTGTCAAACACGTTTAAGAAAGCTATCATTTTTTATATTTTAATTTATTTTCCAGACAGAGACTTAATAAATATGAATGTGAACTTGTCCCTCCCGTTCCGTAATGGTGGATAGTCGGCATTAGCCTTAAATTTTTGGAAAGGTGACGTCATGTCCGGGGATGTTCAGAAAGTGTTGCCGAAGCTTGGAGACAGAAGGTTAGCTCTTGCTGGGAGACAGTCTCATCGTAACCGCAAATTAACATCAATTGTTAATGAAAAACTTAAACGAAAATATAAACGATATGAAAGAGTAGTAGAAAAAGATGCTAAGAGCTACGAATACAAAGCCTGGCAAAATACCATGCCCATCAAGGACACAATGCTACGCATCAGAGGCGCTCAAAAATGCCTTAAAAAGCGACGGGAATCCGTATTCCTAGAGGAAGATCCTGAAAACAAAAAGTTTGGTATCTATGACGGAGTTTCCCTGGATGCTATGAAATATGAAATAGACCAGATTCATAGGGACTCCCATCCAAGGGAAAGACGACTCCGGAAAGTAGAACGACTTCTGGAGAGTGGGAAGCATGACGGTCGCCTGGTGGATTACGATGATGTCAAAATTTCCTTAGATGCGATCTTAGAACGACCGTCACTCATGCGTAAAAACGAAACATCTCTGGCTTTAGATAGTTTCAATAATTACATGCGCCCTGCAAGTGCCCATGCCTCTCCAAACGCATACTCTCTCAAAAAAGGATCCAACGAGGCAAAATTGCGACTTCCACCTATCGTTGTCAGTCGCGAAAACTCGAATCTAGGAGCAGGCTTCGACCGGGTCAAGTCTATGTCACTACCCACCCTGTTCGGGGATGGAAGGTCGAGTACATTTGCATATGACCCCGCCAAGTTTAAAAGGAAATTTAGTAGCTTTCGTCACCATTAAATAATCTGACTCGTAAACGTGAATAAGGAGAGACAATATGAAGAGGATGGCTGACAGTTTGTTTTTTTATTATATATACCCCATTCCAACCACCAATCAGGAGGAAATTTGACATTACTCGACAGACCGATAAAATACATCAAGACACTATCGTGGTAATGACGTCGATGTAAAACAAACAACCATTGAGGATTATCGTGTCACATATTCTTGGATCTTGTTATCAATTTTCCTTATGACTGACCATGCCCCAAAACATTATAGATGGATGTCGATGTGGCCAGAACACTGTTTATAACAGAAATGGCTGTTCACCTCTCTTCGCATATATCTGCGCAAATAAGTTTAGAAATATGTCGTTGATGGAATTTTGTCATGATTTATATGTGAATCCATTGAAATGTGAAATTTTCTGAAAACTTTTGTATTACAGTTGTGAATGCTTCAATCGATCAGTCAACGTTTAGAGTTGACGTTATATAATGTATGTTATTAGTATTACAATTTCGTACTACGTCATTATATCATGTGTACTGTTAAGATTATATTTTCCACTGTTTTCGAGTATGGATAAAGACGCTTTAGTGCAATTGTTGTCTCCCTTTCATGCCTTTGGTAAAAATATGTTAAATAGAATAAGGTCCCATGAGAGTAATAATATGTGTTTTAAAAGTAGTTAAAACAATTTTAACGTTGATACCTGTAATTGTAACTAGCAGGTTAATGCAGGAATGATCACGTAAATATGGTTACTGTTACATGCAGGTTAATGACAGAACGTTCACGTTGATATGGTTACTGTTACATGCAGGTTAATGACAGAACGTTCACGTTGATATGGTTACAGATTAATGACAGGACGTCCACGTTGATATGGTTACTGTTACATGCAGGTTAATGACAGAACGTTCACGTTGATATGGTTACAGATTAATGACAGAACGTTCACGTTGATATGGTTACTGATACATGCAAGTTAATGACAGAACGTCCACGTTGACATCGGTTACTGTTACATGCAGGTTAATGACAGAACGTCCACGTTGACATCGGTTACTGTTACATGCAGGTTAATGACAGAACGTTCACGTTGATACGGTTACAGGTTAATGACAGGACGTCCACGTTGATATCGGTAACTGTTACATGCAGGTTAATGACAGAACGTTCACGTTGATTTGGTTACTGTTACATGCAGGTTAATGACAGAACGTCCACGTTGACATCGGTTACTGTTACATGAAGGTTAATGACAGAAAGTTCACGTTGATACGGTAACTGTTACATGAAGTTTAATGACAGAACGTTCACGTTGATATGGTTACAGGTTAATGACAGAACGTTCACGTTGATATGGTAACTGTTACATGCAGTTTAATGACTGAACGTTCACGTTGATATGGTTACAGGTTAATGACAGAACGTTCACATTGATCTGGTTACCGATACATGCAGGTTAATGACAGAACGCCCAGGTTGATATGGTTACAGGTTAATGACAGGACGTCCACGTTGATATGGTAACTGTTACATGCAGGTTAATGACAGAACGTTCACGTTGATATCGGTAAATGTTACATGCAGGTTAATGACAGAACGTCCACGTTGATAAGGTAACTGTTACATGCAGGTTAATGACAGAACGTCCACGTTGACATCAGTTACTGTTACATGAAGGTTAATGACAGAACGCTCACGTTGATACGGTAACTGTTACATGCAGGTTAATGACAGAACGTCCACGTTGATATGGTTACTGATACATGCAGGTTAATGACAGTACGTCCACGTTGATATGGTTACTGATACATGCAGGTTAATGACAGAACCTCCACGTTGACATCGGTTACTGTTACATGCAAGTTAATGACAGAACGTTCACGTTGATACGGTAACTGTTACATACAGGTTAATGACAGAACGTTCACGTTGATATGGTTACAGGTTAATGACAGAACGTCCACGTTGACATCGGTTACTGTTACATGCAGGTTAATGACAGAACGTCCATGTTGACATCGGTTACTGTTACATGAAGGTTAATGACAGAACGTCCACGTTGATACGGTAACTGTTACATGCAGGTTAATGACAGAACGTTCACGTTGATATGGTTACTGATACATGCAAGTTAATGACAGAACGTCCACGTTGACATCGGTTACTGTTACATGCAGGTTAATGACAGAACGTCCACGTTGACATCGGTTACTGTTACATGCAGGTTAATGACAGAACGTTCACGTTGATACGGTTACAGGTTAATGACAGAACGTTCACGTTGATACGGTAACTGTTACATGCAGGTTAATGACAGAACGTTCACGTTGATATGGTTACTGATACATGCAGGTTAATGACAGACCGTTCACGTTGATATGGTTACTGATACATGCAGGTTAATGACAGAACGTTCACGTTGATATGGTTACTGATACATGCAGGTTAATGACAGAACGTTCACGTTGATATGGTTACTGATACATGCAGGTTAATGACAGAACCTCTACGTTGACATCGGTTACTGTTACATGCAGGTTAATGACAGAACGTTCACGTTGATACGGTAACTGTTACATGCAGGTTAATGACAGAACGTCCACGTTGATATGGTTACTGATACATGCAGGTTAATGACAGGACGTCCACGTTGATATGGTTACTGATACATGCAGGTTAATGACAGAACGTTCACGTTGATATGGTTACTGATACATGTAGGTTAATGACAGAACGTTCACGTTGATATGGTTACTGATACATGCAGGTTAATGACAGAACCTCCACGTTGACATCGGTTACTGTTACATGCAAGTTAATGACAGAACGTTCACGTTGATACGGTAACTGTTACATACAGGTTAATGACAGAACGTCCACGTTGATATGGTAACTGTTACATGCAGGTTAATGACAGAACGTCCACGTTGATACGGTAACTGTTACATACAGGTTAATGACAGAACGTTCACGTTGATATCGGTAACTGTTACATACAGGTTAATGATAGAACGTTCACGTGGATATGGTTACTGTTACATGCAGGTTAATGACAGAACGTCCACGTTGACATCGGTTACTGTTACATGCAGGTTAATGACAGAATGTTCACGGTGATACGTTTACAGGTTAATGACAGGACGTCCACGTTGATATGGTAACTGTTACATGCAGGTTTATGACAGAACGTTCACGTTGATATCGGTAACTGTTACATGCAGATTAATGACAGAACGTTCACGTGGATATGGTTACTGTTACATGCAGGTTAATGACAGAACGTCCACGTTGACATCGGTTACTGTTACATGAAGGTTCATGACAGAACGTTCACGTTGATACGGTAACTGTTACATGCAGGTTAATGACAAAACGTCCACGTTGACATCGGTTACTGTTACATGAAGGTTCATGACAGAACGTTCACGTTGATACGGTAACTGTTACATGCAGGTTAATGACAGAACGTCCACGTTGATATGGTTACTGTTACATGCAGGTTAATGACAGAACGTCCACGTTGACATCGGTTACTGTTACATGAAGGTTCATGACAGAACGTTCACGTTGATACGGTAACTGTTACATGCAGGTTAATGACAGAACGTCCACGTTGATATGGTTACTGTTACATGCAGGTTAATGACAGAACGTTCACGTTGATATGGTTACAGATTAATGACAGGACGTCCACGTTGATATGGTTACTGTTACATGCAGGTTAATGACAGAACGTTCACGTTGATATGGTTACAGATTAATGACAGAACGTTCACGTTGATATGGTTACTGATACATGCAAGTTAATGACAGAACGTCCACGTTGATATGGTTACTGTTACATGCAGGTTAATGACAGAACGTTCACGTTGATATGGTTACAGATTAATGACAGGACGTCCACGTTGATATGGTTACTGTTACATGCAGGTTAATGACAGAACGTTCACGTTGATATGGTTACAGGTTAATGACAGAACGTTCACGTTGATATGGTAACTGTTACATGCAGGTTAATGACAGAACGTTCACGTTGACATCGGTTACTGTTACATGCAGGTTAATGACAGAACGTCCACGTTGACATCGGTTACTGTTACATGCAGGTTAATGACAGAACGTTCACGTTGATACGGTTACAGGTTAATGACAGGACGTCCACGTTGATATCGGTAACTGTTACATGCAGGTTAATGACAGAACGTTCACGTTGATTTGGTTACTGTTACATGCAGGTTAATGACAGAACGTCCACGTTGACATCGGTTACTGTTACATGAAGGTTAATGACAGAAAGTTCACGTTGATACGGTAACTGTTACATGCAGGTTAATGACAGAACGTTCACGTTGACATCGGTTACTGTTACATGCAGTTTAATGACTGAACGTTCACGTTGATATGGTTACAGGTTAATGACAGAACGTTCACATTGATCTGGTTACCGATACATGCAGGTTAATGACAGAACGCCCAGGTTGATATGGTTACAGGTTAATGACAGGACGTCCACGTTGATTGGTAACTGTTACATGCAGGTTAATGACAGAACGTTCACGTTGATATCGGTAACTGTTACATGCAGGTTAATGACAGAACGTCCACGTTGATAAGGTAACTGTTACATGCAGGTTAATGACAGAACGTCCACGTTGACATCAGTTACTGTTACATGAAGGTTAATGACAGAACGTTCACGTTGATACGGTAACTGTTACATGCAGGTTAATGACAGAACGTCCACGTTGATATGGTTACTGATACATGCAGGTTAATGACAGGACGTCCACGTTGATATGGTTACTGATACATGCAGGTTAATGACAGAACCTCCACGTTGAAATCGGTTACTGTTACATGCAAGTTAATGACAGAACGTTCACGTTGATACGGTAACTGTTACATACAGGTTAATGACAGAACGTTCACGTTGATATGGTTACTGATACATGCAAGTTAATGACAGAACGTCCACGTTGACATCGGTTACTGTTACATGC